ACAGTCGGTGATTCGGCCTCATCATACCGCATGCTACGGTCTCCCGGGTAAGAGTCTCATGTCACGTCTGTCAGTCCCTCTGCAGGTGCAGCACACGTTGCTTGCAGGTGGCTGTGACAGGATTGCCGTTTCAGATTCCTGTGTACACGCCGCACGGGTCCTCACTGCCTCGCACGCTCTCCAGACTCAGTCACACACGCCTGGCACAGAGCAGGCTCCAGCGCACACCTCCAGCACGTGCCAGTTTGTATAGTAAATGTTGGTGCATCTTTTTCATTCTTTGTAGCAGAAGAAAATATAAGTAGTAGTGTGTCATCACCTTGGGAACCCCCGGCTCGTCCCCATCTTGGAGGTCTTGGGTCAGTGGACCAGGTCCACTCTGTGTGCTAAGCCCTGTGCTGCGGATGCAAGAGACCAGGAGCACTTGGCAAGCCAGAAGCTACTGTTCCCACCTGCTCTCATGGTAACCGTCATTATTTATTAACTGCAGACTTCCCTTTAATAAATCTTTTTAAAAGAGCCCTGGCTGGTGTGGCTCAGGGGATTGAGTGCCAGCCCGAGAACCAAAGGGTTGTTTGGTTGATTCCCAGTCAGGGCACAGGCCTGGGTTGCAGGCCAGCTCCCCAGTAGGGGGCGCATGAAATGCGACTACACACTTTTTCTCTTCCTCCCTCCCTTCCTCTCTGTCTAAAAATAAACAAAATCTTTTTTAAAAGAATAATACATGCATTCTTATCTCCACCTTCTTTGTGTTATTTCCGATGCCAAGGTCAATGCCTTCTCCCCCTGCAGGTTTTACATAGGCTGTCCATACATTTTCCCCCAGCTTTCATTGAGGATTGACCTTGAAATAATCGGGAAGTATCCCAAGTTCACCATAGCAAATAAGTGAAAATACCAGGGGAGAGGATAGGGTAAAGAGATTTACACAAACGTAAGGTACCTATGGTAGTATTTGTGTAGAAGAATGTTACAGCTCTTGACTGCAAAAACAATAAACGGAAGTATGAGTTAATGTCCATACCGTTATAACCCAAACCGTGCGGGCCTCCTTGCTGTTCCCATTCTCAGGTCAGCAGTGTCAGCGCGGCGCTGGACTTCCAGCAGAGTCATGGGACTTTTCCTGGCAGGTGGCCTTTCTGGTTCAGGAGCCTTGTCCTTGGGCAACTCCGACAGGCTGCACTTGAGTTTTGGCTCAAGTTGTGCTGTTTAGTTGATACTCTTGGGACCAGCACTGTCCGTTAACACGCTGTGAAACAAGTGTGTCTGTGTTATTAGTCCGTGTGCAGTTTAGAATTACAATAAAGCCCCAGTCACTCATGGGCAGAATTCAAAATCTCCTATTTTGTTCATTCTGCTCCAAGAAGTAAGATTTGAGTCAAATCTTAGGGTCATGATTTCTTTTCTTCGAATATTAGTAACGCTAACTTGAAGACTTTTCTTTTTTATCCTCACCTGAGGACACACTTATTGATGTTTAGAAAGAGGGGAAGGAAGGGCGAAAGAGAGGGAGAGAAACATTGATGTGAAAGAGAAAGAAATCATTTGCCTCCTGTATGCACCTTGACCAGGAATCGAACCTGCAGCCTTTTGGTTTACAGGATGACACTCCAACCAAGTAAGCCACACCAGCCAGGGCAAGGCCTTTTTTTTTTGTACTTTTTTCCATTACTATTTATTCCCAAGACTTTATTTTTAATTACAAAAATAACTCTTTTATACTGTTAAAAACTCAGAATACATAAAGGCCTAACACATATTCTTGCACCATCTCCACTGGTTTTGATTCCCTGGTGGTACCAGTCCTAATAACACAGCAGGAAGTGAAGTTTTTTTCAATGTAGTGACCAATAAGAAGCTAAACTAAGTTGCATTCAAAACACAAGTGGAGCCCTGGCTGGTGTGGCTCACTGGGTTGAGTGCTGGCCTGCAAACCAAAAGATCGCTGGTTCAATTCCCAGTCAGGGCACATAGCTACCTGTGTTGCAGGCCAATTCCCAGTAGGGGATGTGAGAGAGACAACCACACACTGATGTTTCTCTCCCTCTCTTTTTCCCTTCCTTTCCCTCTCTCTAAAGATAAATAAATAAAAATTTTTTAAAAAGAAACATAGATATATTTTATAGTAACTAGAGACGTAATGTTTTTATTATTGTGTTCAATTTGATTGTTATGATAGAGATATTTTTAAAACAGTAAAATTATAAAAATAACCAAGTGAGGTTTTAAAAAGTAAAAAGAGTTTGTAAGATTATAATCCCCAACTTTGTAAATGAACTACATACAAAAACAGTATAGTAACATCTTCACTGTCTGGAACCCTGAAAGAATTGACGTAATTTCTACAAAGTTAAGATTTTCCTTGCCTTTTAGAGGAATTTCAGATTGAAATTTTATGGGAGAAAAAGGTTTTCGTCTGTTCTTCCTTTTTAATTGTAATGTGTTTGTTTCGCTGATTTGGTGATAGCTGAGTCTTTCTTCTGAAGGCCGGTCACTGTCCTGTCTTTGAAAGGGGCCGGTGCTTCCAGGGCTTTTGGTGTATGTAAGACGGCTTTGCCGCCCCCTTTGCTGTCTTTGCCTGGAATGACCCGGCATCGTGTGCACTCTGACGCCCTTGTGTAGTGTGTTGCGCAGTCACGTCTGTGCTGTGGCCCTTCGTGCAGGGGCTGTGGGTGAGGCGCCCAGCGTGTGTGCGCTCATCCCCACGCTGTGCCGCGGCGCCTGCCTCAGGAGGGTCATGGGATGTGCCCAGAGGGGTCACTGCCACATCTTAGAAGCCATGCTGATGAGAGTAGGTCCCGAATGAGGAGTGAGGAGTGTCAAGGGCGCCCTTAGGAGTAAACGGGGGGTTTTCCGTTATCTGCAGCGCCAAGAACCTGAGAATGCCGCCCGTTCCAAATACACGCGCCGTGACTGCAGAAGGAGTTTGTGAGGGGACCCTGCAGCCTGGAGGGTGAACAAAGGGTGTCAAAGTGGGTGAGGATGGAAGACAGGCAAGAAGGCCGTTCAGAAAATGAAAGCTTTTCATTGAAAAAGGCTGGGTGGTTGAATGTTAAGGGGCCCAAGCACTGTAATGATGTTATTTTAAATGGTTGAACAGTCCTGGGTAATTAGTGTTTATGAATCAGATTTTGGTTCCCATGGTCTCCGAAGTGCCCTGAAGGCGTATGCCTTAATGCCCTCACCCTGCTGCGTGCAGTGCAGGCACTAGAGGCACACGGTTCCCCTCGAAGTGGGTCGACTCGGGTTTGGATGTGAGGGGGCAGAGCTGGAAAACCGTCACCTGGCACCTGCCCTCCAAACGCGTCCAGTTGGGAAGACGTGCTAAGCAAGGTAGGCACCTGTTGAAAGCAGGAGGAAGCGCAAAATGGCCAGCTCAGAGGAGTGCGTCCACCCCAACTGGGGAGGCAGGAGAGGCCTGAGCAGGAGCCTGAACTGGAGGTGGACAGCTAGGAGTGGGGTGGGGGTCGGGGAGCTGAACCCGTGAAAGCCCTGCGGCGCTGCACCCTGGGGCCAGCTGGGGCGGGGCAGTGACCTCAGCGGCTTGGGACCCCACTGAGGTTTGCGATGTGGGCTCAGCTGTCAGTGTTGGCCACATTTGAAGTTAAACCACTAAAAGGTGTAAGCATCATTCATTCACTCATTACTAAAATGGAAAACCTATTACATCTTTTTTTAACATTTTTAAAATTGTTGTTCAAGTATAGGTTTCTGTCTTTAACTCCCAGCCCACCCACCCAGCCCTCCCCCCCCCACAAACCTATTATATCTTAACAGAAGTAACATACTGTTAGGAAAATAGCCATGTTTTCTGAAACAAAAACAAATTTAGTAAGAGGGCGGCCTTGTTTTAAATTTTCACAAACCTTTTCTGTCTAGCTCCGTAGGAGAGAGCTGGCTTCCCCTCCGGGCCTCTGAGTCCTGTCCGCCACCGTGTCCTGGCGGCGGCGGGGAAAGGCCTGCCGGGGAACAGGAGTGTTCCTGTGGCCCGTTAGGACTCTTGCGGATGTTTTCTTGGATGTTACACTGACTCTCAACCACATGGAATCTGAAACCATATCAGTGAGCTGTCTGTGCATTTTATTACATGAAAACCCAGAGGGCTGTCTATCACTTTGAATGGCTCTTCTATCCTTGAACAATTTTTAAACACCATTTATTGATCACTTGGAAAATAGTGGTCACTGAATTACACAGATCTGCTAAGACAGTTTGCAAATCATGGGCAAATTTCAATATCTATCAATAAATCCCATTGTTCGTATCACCCTGCTCTCATCCTCACCCTGGGGAAGCTATCAAGCTCACACTGGCAGCTAGGAATTTTCCAAGCTTCCTGGAACTCCAGAAAGTCATACAGGGCTCCATTACTTTCCGGCCGGACACTGACCCTCTAGACCTGTTTCTTAATCTTGTGTCATTGTCAAGATTTCATGAAAAAAATGTAACTATGTACCTGACCCAGGTAGGCCCCAGTCAGTAGCAGTGATTGTCACTCTGGGAGCTCTCCTGTGTTGCTGCCATCCGATGTGGCATGTGCTGACTGTAGCCCAGAAAGAGGAACAGCAGGCGGGCGCGTTGAGGACACTCCTGCTGGGGTGTGTAACAGCTCATTCGGACCGGCTCCGGGCTTCCCTGTGGGGTCGCAGCAGCAGCGGACCTGCGGCAGCATCCTCCCGCGCCCGCGTGCGTGCATGCGGTGACTGGCGCTCAGGTGCTGTCTGAACGAATGCGTCCAGAGGGGATGCGTTTCGAATGATGCTCGGCGTGGCTCCAGACGTCGGCGTGTGAGAGGAAGCATGTGATCTGAGCGACGACCAGTGCTTTTTCCTTGCCGTTTTCTTTAAGGAATGTTTAACCTCTGTCCACCCCATCCCCTCTGCTTTTTTCTTGAATGTCCATTAATTCAAAATAAAAATAGTAGAAGTCTCTAAAGTGTTTTACAGTGCTTTGGGGTTAAGCATTTTAGCAATCAATATACTTTGCATTCTGATTTTCAGATGTTCCTCCTGCTGATCAAGAGAAGCTTTTTATCCAGAAGTTACGTCAGTGTTGTGTCCTCTTTGACTTTGTTTCCGATCCGCTGAGCGACCTCAAGTGGAAGGAAGTAAAACGAGCTGCTTTAAGTGAGATGGTGGAATACATCACCCACAATCGGAATGTGATCACAGAGCCCATCTACCCGGAGGTGGTCCACATGGTGAGTGAGTGCGGCTCGGCCAGCGCGTCCCAGCGCCGCGCCGCGGCCAGGCCCCGACGTCTTGGAGTAGCGGGGATGTGTGAGGCTGACATGACCTTCCCACAAAAGCCTTACCTGTCCCGGAGTTGGTGCTCTGAGGAGTGAAAACCTGTGTGGTGCGGCCTGGACGGCCGTGATTAAGTGACAGTGAGGGGACCAGGCACCTCTGGGACGAGTCGCAGAGTTTGTCCATTCAACCCTCACAATGACCAGATGGGTAGAAATGGTAAAGCTTTTATTTGGACTCATTACCCACTTTAAATTTTTGGTTTTCAACACATACAGCATTAATATAGTAACTCCCATACACAATGTAGAAGTAGCCACGTTCTGCACACACGCACAGGAAAATTCTGGTGGGGCGCAGGGAAAACAGCGATGGGACCAGCTGCTGTCCGACGGTCCATCCCAGCTGGCCGAGCCGGCCCCTGTCTGTCTGACCCGTGTCAGGACCCACTGGCTCTGCGCTGCGATTGGCCCCCTGCCGTCTCATGCTTTACAGCCCGTGTCCAGGTCCTTTGCAGGGTCTCGCTGCAACCTCAGTCAGTACCATGAGGAAACATTTCATGTGGTGTCTGAACTCACTGACTTGCTCTTTGAACTTCAGTTTTCCTTTTTTTTATTTAAATGAGACTTTTTCCATATGGAAAGAATTAGTACAATCACATATTTGAGAGGAGAAGCAATAGGTACTGAACTGAGGGAAAGGGTGAAGGGTAACTGTGGCCCCAGGGCCTGGTGAACCTCAGATGCCATTTCCCATCCAAGGTTCCAGCGCCCCAGAGATAATGGATAAGCTGCACGTTACACCTATAGCCATCGCCTGCCCTTTCAAATATCGGGTCTACATGAAAAGACAAAGAGAGGAAAGGCCAAATAAAAACAGAAGGAAACAACCCTCTAAAACAAAAAACCCCAAACCCTCTTTGCTGTGCAAGGCACAAGGTCAAAGCTTACAGTGCGTGTCCCCTTTAAACTGTGGGGGAGGGTCATCCACACAGAGCCTCGTAGACACGTCCACTCGGAGGCTTTGTAACGCACTGCAGACGGGCCCGGTATGGCTGCCGCGCAGAGGCTGCCCAGCCCGGGTGGAGGACAGTGACCTGCAGGCCAGACGTGCCTAGAAGATGACTAGCCACGTAGGTGCCGGTGGTCCTGGTGGAGATCGGAGGGGTCTGGCCCCGGCACGGAGGCGCTTCTGTCCCGGGTGACCTGTTTGTCTTACTTCCGCCTCATGTCTTCAGGAAGCGCTGCCTTTGTGAAATTCACATTTCCCCCTTTTTTTCAATTGTTGATATTTACCTGCCTTTGAAGTTAGCACTCACTCCTCAGTTACTAGGGAGTCCTTGTTGCTTAATGCAAAATTTTAAATTCTTACTGTCACTGAACTTCTTAAGTTCAATTATTTTTCCCCAAAGCTATATATTTCAGAATTGATCAGACTTGTTTAACTAAAATATGTTTATTTCTCAAAATATGTTTGCTTTGGAAGAGAAGATGAAAGTGATGTTCATGTCAGGAGTTGAGGTTGACTTGACTGTTCTAGTGTGTTATTGTTAACCACTGGAGTTCGAGTTTGCCTGTGCAGTCGGCCGGGGCGGCAGAGGCCATGTGGGCTTCTCCCGCACCCACTCCCGGGGGCCGTGCTGAGCGGTGAGCTCTCCAGAACCTCACCCATTTAGGTTGGGAAAAACTGGGGAATTATCTTTTTTTTTTTTTTTCCTCTTAATTTCAACTCTCAGTTACTTTGGAAGGCCTCCCAAGCTCTAGAATCACAGGAAAAAAGAATCACAAGAAAAATCTCTGATATTTTCTCCCAATCCTTTCATATTTTTTTGTTCACCATTCACTTTATAATCCTCCTAGAATTTGTTTTAAGTGGTACAGGGTAGGGGTATAATTTTATTGCCTTCTAAGTGATTGAAAAATTATTTGTCCCGTACCATGTATTGAATATTCCATTTTCCTGATTGATTTTAAATGCTTTTATATTATCTATTAAGTTTACTTTAAGTTTATTAATATATTACCTATCAAATTTCTAAACACATGACACTTGCTCTCTATTAAGTTACGTGTATGGGAGGTTCTGCTCTTTTTAAGGAGCCTCGGCTGCCAGCAGCCCCTGAGTCCCACTCTTGCCCCAGGAGGGAAGGGTCTGCAGAGAACGAGGTTCAGCTGGCTGGCGTGGACCACCTGCCCTTGACCGGAGCGTGGGCCCGCCTGCTGGAATCAGTCTCTCACCTGCACTTCACAGAGGCCATGTGCATTACACGAGCCACCTAGGGTACTAAAGCCCTGAAGGCTTGTTAAATTTTTTTAATTTTTAACAATAATTTTTACTACTTACTATTTTTTCTTTTTTATAGCCAAGTAGTATTCCTTTGTATAAACATCCCATAGTTATTTTATTCATTCATTTACTGATGGATGCTTGGGCTGTTTCCATATCTTGGCGATTGTAAATAATGATGCAATGAATATAAGGGTGCTTATGTTCTTTCCAGTCGGTGTTTTGGGTTCTTTCGGATATATTAGCAGAAGTGGAAATGCTGGGTCAAAAGGCAGCTCCATTTTTCATTTTTGAGGTATCTCCACACTGCTTTCCACGGTGGCTGCACCAAGTCTGCATTCCCACCGACAGTGCAAAAGGGTCCCTTTCTCCACGTCCTCACCAGCACTTGTTTGTTGATTTATTGATGAGAGCCATTCTGACAGGTGTGAGATAGCTCACTGTGGTTTTAATGTGCATTTCTCTGACGACTAGTGACATGGAGCATCTTTTTATATGTCTGTCGGCCATCAGTATGTCCTCTTTGGAGAAGGGTCTATTCAGGTCCTTTGCCCGTTTTTTTATTACTTTATTGTTCAATTACAGTTGTCTGCATTTCCCCCCCACCCCCACCCCAGCTGAACCCACCACCTTCCTTCGCTTCTACTCTCCCCCTTGGTTTTGTCCATGTGTCCTTTATAAGTAGTTCCTGAGAACCCATCCCCCCACTGTCCCCTCCCCCCGCCCCTCTGGCTATTGTTAGATTGTTCTTAATTTCGACGTCTCTGATTATATTTTGTTTGCTTTTTTCCTTTTGCTAATTATGTTCCAGTTAATTACTACTTTTTATTCCCACCCCCACCAAGACTTGTTTTAGATTAAACGGCCGCCGCTTCTCCTCGCCCTGTTAAAAGCCCCCTCCTAGCTGGACTCTCCCCCTGCCGTCCTTGTGTTCCCGACCCCGGAACTCAGGCCAGCCTTTGAGTGGGGTGGTTGGCCCTCCAGCGCAGTTGCAGATACCCAGTGAGCATCCACCGTGGGCCAGGCGCTTTTTTCAGAAAGAAAATAGAGCAGTGGACCCCATTTCTGCCCACCCAAAGCTCTCCTCTGCCTGCAGGACAGACCTCAAGTGAGCCGACCAGTGGTGTGTCACTTTAGGTCATGGTCACGCTGTGAAGGAAAGGAACGGGGAAGGGACACGTGCAAGGCTGCCGTGTGCCCATGTTGTGGGAGCGGGTGCGGAGGATTGATGAAGATAGATGCTGGTGAGGTGCTTTTCTGTGTCACTGAGAGAACAGGGACAGTTAGTCTTCCGTCCCTGCTCAGAATAGAGGGAGTGTAGGGCAGAGAGTGGCCTTTCCCTGCCCTCGAGTTTGTCTGGAGCTTTGGGAATGGGACGAAGGGCGGGGCAGGCACAATGCTGGTGGTGCTCTGTTCTGTAAACAGAGGGCGTGGGCGAGAGAAGGGAAGAAAGGGGGGTGGCTGCGACTCTGCCCCTCTGATGGAAGGCTTCCGCCCGGCAGGGCTGCCCCAGCCTGCGGGGTGGGGGGGGTGGGGCCTCGGTTCCATGGGCCCCCTGACGTGCTGGCCACTGAAGCAGCACTTGGTGGGCTGGCGTCAAGGATTGCCTGGCGTGTGCGTTTGTGTGTTTGCCCTCTGTATGCGCCCCAGTGGGGACCATACAGCCCGTGGTTTTGTCGTCATGTGTTGTTTTGTCATCATGTGTTTAGACATTGATTTCCACGTTGAAGGACCCAGATCTTGCATACCATACAGCCCGACCATCTAAAATGTACAATTCAGCTACTGTTAATATGGTCCAGGAGTGTGCAGCCGTCTCCACATACAATGTTATGGGCCTTTCTCCCTCGGCTGGGCTGTGCCCCGGCCCCGGTAACGCTCGCCTCCTTCGTCTCGGTGGGCCTGCCTGGCCTGACGCCCCGTGTGAGTGGAGTCGTGTGGGACGGGGCCTTCTCTCACTCGGCAGGATGTTTCCAAAGTTGGTCCTGTCGTAGCGCCTGTCAGAACGTCCTCTCAACGCCAAGTGAGGTTCCATCGTGGGGTGTGCACCGTAAGGTTCCATCGTGGGGTGTGCACCGTAAGGTTCCATCGTGGGGTGTGCACCGTAAGGTTCCATCGTGGGGTGTGCACCGCGCATGATCTACCCACTCACCCGCTGATGAACGTCTGGGGCATTTCTGCTGCTGGGCAGTTTTGGATGGTGCTGCCGTGAGCACTGCTCTACAGACGTGGTGTGCGGACGTGTGTTCGTTTCTCTTGATCACTCACCCAGGACACAGGTGAGTCCCAGGTTAACTCTGTCACACCTTTGAAAAACCGCCAGACTGTTTTCCGAAGCGGCTGCACCAGTCGGTGTTCCCACCAGCGGCGTGCGGGGGCTCCAGTGTCCGTGCGTCCTCGCCAACTCTCGTGACGGTGTCTGTCTTATGGACGATAGCCGTCCGTGTGCGTGGGGAGTGGCGTCTCGCTGGTTTTGACCTGCACCTCCCCCGGGGCTGTGTGTTTTCACATGACAGATGTTAGTCCTGAAACTCAACAGAACCTTACGCATCTGGCCTGGCCCTTTCATTTTCCAATGGCAAAAAGTTAGGTTCAGCCCTGGCCAGTGCGGTTCATGCGGTTGAAACTGTCCCGTAAACCGAAAGGTTGTGGGTTTGGTCCCCACTGG